ACAGATGCTCACCAATCAGTAACAGCAGACAGTGCTTGTCCAACAGGTTATTCTGTCTGGTGATGATGCAGTTATGTAAATATCAATGTCATAGGTCCGTTAAAGGTCTTGTCCATCACTTCTTCAGTCATTGTATGTCAGGACTGTTGTAAAATACATCCATGTCAAACTTTGACATGACCGGGATCACTTCTGTACTATATCAAGTGTCAAACTGACATGGAAATGTCAGACTGCTAAAAAAGTACCCCCAAGTTACAAGAATGAAACTAACTGTAATAGGACAAATTGATCAACCAACACAAACAACTAAATTCAAACCGGCAAAAGTGACTAGAGGATTAACTAATGGCAAATGTTAAATATGCTGAAGTTACAATTAAATAGAGAAATTGTCACCAGAGACGAAGTATTTTTGCATTAAAAAGAGCAGAAAGATTTACCTTCAAATTCATGTTTGTGACTGGTTTGGAAAATTCATTAAGGCTATAAATTGCTGAGCTAATCTGTGCGATATGGTTCATTAACCAACATTGCGAAGTCAACAGTTTAAAAAAAGTGTAACATACAATTACAAGCTGAAACACAAAATACTTTGGATTATTATTTGAGCATTAAACAGCTTTCAGGTGACATTCACTATCACCAGTGACACATCTCCTCATCAAACCTCAGGAATTCAGTAAAAATAAGACATGTATTTCACCCCTTTTCATTTGTTTGGAACGCCTTCCCACTCCCCCTTTAAGTCTGGAATCCCCAACAGATTTAATTCTAGATACGTCACTAATAAAAATCAATGCCATCTGAAAACAACATATTCTATAAAGCAGGCTGGAACTTCATGTCATTTTTGTATGTTTGTAAAAAGTTTCCTGTTACTTCAAGAGGAAGATGTGTACAAAAGCATTGTGCTTTATAATGTATACATTACATTGGAACTGACGAACACATTCAGTACCCAAGGACATATGGACATTAGTTTTCAACTTTTGTAATTTCAACAATTTTTTGTAAAAGACACATTCGTTTTAACGATACATACTTTGGTCCTTACATTCCAGTCCACCTTCTGCATGTTGATATTTCAATATCCATACTTGCAGTCAAACACCATCAAAACATCACAAAATTCATACCTACTGCCTTACACCATCATATCTCAACTCATACATATAGCGAGCCTCGTAGCACCATCACAACATCTCAATATTCATACTTACAGCCAAACATCAATCTTGATATTCATACTTGCAGCCAAACATCAATCTTGATATTCATACTTGCAGCATATCATCATCTTGTCATACACACATACTAATAGTATAAAAATCATCTGCATATTCACAAAACACATTTACACGTGTTGCTCACATGCATGGCAATTTTTCCAATGTTAATTAAACTTACTTTCCTGATCCTCTATAAGAGCTTTGTATAGTGTTCAAACGACTATACAAAGCTCGTGCAATCTGAAAACCACCTTTATGTGGTGACCTGGACCAATCGAAGATCCTCTAAGTTTAATACACAGACACATCTATGAGAGGCTATTCCTCTATTAAGAACATTTCCTTGCTCAGGTCAACATCAGCTGCATATTTAAGAGATACCAGAAACTTTTTGAAATCAAGTGACCAAAACATACAACAATACATTAATTTGTGGGCACCTGTACATGTACGGTAGAGCAGCCGCACAGTAAGATGACCAGCCATATATCTTATATGAGCTGTTATATGCTGGACCACTACAACTAGCATGCAATATTGAAATCAGTCTGCAGCATTCCATGATGCTGTATCCCTGCAACAGAGAGAGCACCAAACATACCCTCACACCTGGTGACTTAAGTTAAAAGGGTAAAATAATCCATGAAATTAACAAGCACGCAACTTTAGTTGACAAAATGCCCGTCCATTAGGGAAAGTGTACAGTGTTTAATAGAAAACACAATTTGTACAAAATAACTGACACAAACTCACTGCCCAGCACTGTAGGACAGAGAATTCAAAGTCGTCGCATGTAATTGTTTAAAACAATGATTAACGCCAACATGACATCTGACAACTTAATCCAACAGTTCAATATAACGAAGCAGATTACCATGGAGTCGGTACAACCTCCCAGGTAAAAAGGTCAAGTATTCTCATACAAGAAAAAAACTGCACTCCTCTTCTCAAGGGGAGACAATCTGTACTTTTTTCCTTTTTTAGGGGAAAAGCACAGAATATTACATCATGTTTCACCAAGTGAAACTTATTTCTGACCTTGGCACTCTTGTTGGAAATATATCACATATATATTAAACAATAAATTACCGTGGTGAAAATTATAATAAACTACTACTGTAGTAGTATAAAAACAATATGTGAAACCACTAGCAGCTTTAGACATCACCATACAGTGGTGTGAATGAACCCACAGCGTTCATTTATCACAGTTCACAAGCACACTTTAGAAATCTTGCTCCGAAACTGTAAAACATTAGCTACTTACAGAAAACATGCAAACAAGACACAGAACACACTTTTATCAACACATCATGCCGAGATATATACACTGGATTTGAAACATATTTATCAGGTATCTGTATTCGGCATCAACAGCGAGATTCGTTTTCAATAAAAATATTTACTTTCACTTTACTGCTGTTAAGAAGCTGTTCCTTCTTTGAATATTTGAAAATGGTACCCAGTTCATATTTGAACATTTGTACATCAAATTCAGTCTATCATAAAAACGTGTGTAATTTTGCACATTTGCAGTACATATACATGCATCTCCATTAAACTGTGACACAAAAAGAATCAGTGGAAATAGAGTGACTGATATCATGAAAATAAGTCTACATATGTTACGTTTCGAAAATCTTTCTCATTCTCTTTTCATCTTGTCCATTTGTATTGCCAATTTGTTTCTCTAATACTGATTTAGAAATCCATTCTTTCTTTTTAAAAAAGAAATCAAACGTTCCTAATCATACTCTCCCCAAACAAGGTATCTTTTCAATTTGAAAGTTCCACACAAATCAAAACAACGAACCATTTCACAAAAAAGGATCTTGCATACGATTCCATAACCAATTACCAGAGTTCTCTATCTCGCTCTCGTTGTTAATTGATTGTCCGGTCATGATCAATAACCATTTGCTTAATCAGCACTCCCTAATCCACTAAGCTTACAACAAATAACGAGTACTCTCCTACACTCTCTCTATTTAGTCAATAGTGGATTTTTTTTCCTGTAAAACAATACACAATTTACATTTATCTCCTGAATTTACCCTGATGGAAGTTAGCGATAAAGTTTTATTGAAAAAGTGAAAGAGGGGAAGCCTATGGATATTCCAATACTGTTCAATGTAATACATAGTTTACTAAAGTATGCAGTACTTAATGTTCATTTGTGATTGGATTTATAGAATGCCCTTATTGTAATCCACAATTGAAAGTTTGAGAGTGGATTGCTGTATTGAACACTTTTTAAATGTCTTATCCAGACCATCTAAACCCCAGTATTATTTTTTTGGAATGTACATTACTGTATTTTGAATTGCAAACATACATATTTATCAATACACCATATGGTACTGGATTTTTATTTAATTTATCAACTGCCCTTTTTAGGCTTTTTAAAACGGAACATTAATATTCCTCATGATAGAAGTGTTATGTAATGATTACATTACTTAAGGGATGCAAAACATGCATTCATTTTGGCTTTATGTAATTCTTGTTCAGTTAGCATTCACCCCATAAAATCTCTGATGTATGGTTGGGAAGTCAGATATATCTGTGATGATGAAAATCCAGCATCTCACCTTTCAGCAAATGATAAAATACCTGCTACAGCCATGTACATTTATAGATATAAATATTGGAAACAAGTAAAAAAAACCTAGTGCTGTTAACTATCACATGTAAACAAATGTTATAGTCTTTAGTAGATAAAATGAAATATTTGAATATAAAGAAATTTAAAAATGCAGATTTGTTTCAATTTTAAGTGCTAAGCCTCGAGGTTTGTAATAGTCCTTAATTAAATACAAACAATTCTGTCAATATGTAACGATCATGTAACATGTTGAACTTCGCAAGATTACACCATGACATGCCACAATTAATGAAAAATTTTGCTGTACAGAACAATTCAAAATTCTTTTTGCTATTTTTCTTTCATAACCATCATTTTAGGTATAAAAATTTGAAAAAAAATTGCAGTTATTTGCATTTAGAATCAGTGAACCATTCCTGTAAAGACAAATATAATGCATAACCATGCCAGATAATTCAGTAAAAGAAATGTATGTGGCTGTGACAAATTAGTTAAAAGAAAAGATAAAACTTACAGAATGTGTTCCGACTATCAAGAGCGCAGTTATATTTTGTACATATCATCAGTGCCATATTTCATATGAATAGCGTAAGCAAAATTCTCACAAATTACTTGAAATGCACAAAACCAGAAAAGCCAATATGGCTTGAACTATTACTGGCTTGTCCACTGGGGTCAATGGTTAAACTAGATATTGTACTTATACACCACTTTGCTTCGTCACAGAGGTCAAAGTTCACTGGTGTCGACAGTCAATTTTGGGTCATTCACTGTTTACACAGCTTTGTGTCAGAGTCACTATAAACATGAACTGTTGAGGGAAGGTCAGGTCAGAGTTCAATTGTCTCGAGTCAGTTTGACCTCCTGATCCTCACTTTGTCACAGTCTTCACACATCTCGTCGTCATTGTTGGTAGGTTGGACTCGCAGGGTCTAAACACCATGTCCTCTCCAACCATCTGTTCTTCCTGTCCACATTTTCAAGGAATTCTTTCGGAAACATTCCACAGAATTTTCTCCCGGGAATTCTTGGTATTGTCTGGAAAGTGTTAACTTCCTTGCTCAGTCCAAAGAGCTTTCTTGAAAGTTTGCAAATTGTCAAAAGAACAGTCCAGGAGGCCTTTCCTGAAACTGTTCCCTTTTTTATTTTCCAGGAACTGTCCGTGGACGTTTTCCTGGAAGAGTCGTTTCAGATATCATCCTTGAGGTTAGGTCCATGTCTGTCCATGTCTGTCCATGATACAGTAGACGTTATCCTGTGTTGAATTGTCTCCTGTCAATGCCCGAGGGGCGGATATGAAATGAAGGGACACAAGAGTTAATTGATTTCCTGGGAGGAGAAGGTTGGCTGTCTAACTTTGCCTAGCCTGTCAAGCTCCAATCACAGGGTGTACTAACAAGCGCCTAGACTGTACCACGATAGAAAGTCAACGTCGTGGCCATCATCTTGTTGTCAAAACTTGAACCCATCTGAAGGAACTGTTGAGTTAGGGTCAAATTGGAAACCTTGGGTTGTGGATTCGGGAAGCACAGAAGGATCTTCTTCCGTCTAGAAGAGAAAAACACACTTAATACAAAATATCCTCTTTTTTTATCAAACCAGTATCCCCCCCCTCCATTAATAGCATTTCCAAATTTGACTCGGAGATCAGAAGCCTGATGTCACGATACAACGTGTCACACCATAGAGATTGTACAAACATGGACAAGGGTGGAGCATTTTATTGTTTAATCATCGACCACACTGCCAAGGCCTCAGTTGCACTCCTTTGTCAGTCATGGTAATTCATGGCTCCTCGACACCTTGTCACATCTACAGGGATGGAGTAGGGCTGGGGTACAAACATTTAATCAGTCACACATAAACATTCACTCACAGAACCAAATACACCCATGCAAAAGTTATTATCCTTTACATGCCCCATTCTCACTAAGAATTCAGATTTTTATTTCCAATCATCGGTGACAAATGGCTCAACTTGGATGTGTGAACATCTGTACAAGTGATGACCAGGTGCCCCTCATATGACGACGGTCTCATTCAGAGTAAGTGACAACTAACACACACATATATACACTCAGACCAGGGACTGCCTAGTACATATCTCTGTTTCATCACGTCTCCAAGTAACTGCTGCTTATCATCGTTATGTTTAGTTTTGAATATCAGATCTTAATGCTTATGTCATCTTTATTAAATGAAAAAGAATACCAAACATACCTTTGTAGTATTTTCTCCAGGTTTGAAAAAGTTGGGGGGATTAGGTAGCGTGATATAGGCAGAATATAGAAATTTATCAGGGATATATACACAATCCCCTCCTTATGGAGAAAACACTACTTTGTTTTACAGTCCACCTATGAACAATTGATTCAAAGATTTGCTTTGGTAAGAATTTTTCAATGGTTTCCTCATGGCTTTTTAATCTTTGTTCAGCAAAGCATATTGTGTTATTACAACTCTTTCATTATCAATCAGAATATAAATACCAACAGTTATAAAACTATCAATGCAACCAAACTTTCATCCTATAGTTCCCCTTTAGAGAGATTTACATTCAAAATTCAAGTAAAATCAATTAACATAGAACTATTTTTCATGACAGCTTCAAAAGACTTTTAGAATCAAACTTAGTGTCAAAATCAAGAAAAGACATACAAATTATGCAAAAATGTCTCAATCTCTGGGGTTGTAAGAATTCCTTGAATTAAATAACTTACCTCATCAGAAAAGTAGTTATCTATAATTTCATAGGCTAATCTGTAGATGTCAGAATTTTCATGATTCTGTAAGTTTTCAATCTTGTCTAAACCTGAATAAAAGAAATACAAAAACATTTACCTTCAGAAATTCTAATTTTATATTTTGACTGTTAATATTATCTCTTTTGCAATAATAAAGATTTATAAGTACTGCTGGCCAGAAACTATACATAAGTTTTAGAGTACGGGCATATAGACCTATCACCGACCAAACAGATCCATTTGTTAATGTTCAATTCATCACTTTATGATTGTGCAGTATGTTTTCATCACTTTATTTAATCAAATCAAAAATAATATTGGAAGGTTGTTAACATAACACATTAACTTAATCAGGGCACCAATATATTGTTCCACAGTTCCCTTTATTTTGTAGGGTCAAATATCAACTGAGCTATGGAAGTATGAATAGTTTAGCATGAAATGGGAATATTTCTAACCTCCACACTCCTCGACGACCTGGCAGATGGACTCAACCTCATCGGCGGCCATTTTGAGGATGTTATTGATTCCATCTAGCACCACCTGCACCACCTGGGTGTCCTTTACACTGAGGAGGTCACAGAAAGGGGGAATAACTCCTTGCTCCACCACATACGACACCTGTTGGTAAAACAGATTTGATAATTATCAATTCTGTACAAACCCGACAAAATCACTTAAAAATCTCAATTATATATGTATATATAAAGCAGATATCATTCCAAGATAAATTCAAGTTTTAAAGTAATATAATAATCAGTTTTTATGTTTTAAAGCAATATGAAGTTTTACGAACTGATACTATTTCAATTGTCTAAAACCACCTAAAATACAGACGGTGGTTGATCTCATTCAATGATGATAGGATTTCTTTTCTTCTCCATATCGTTCCTAGCAGTTGTCACCTTAGTGTATAATTATTGTATGAGCTGTGCCCACTCACCTGCTCCTTTCGTCCACTGATGGTCAGATTACTTATCGCCCAGGCAGCTTCTTTCTTAGTCTGAAAGTCACCCTGAAAGAACAAAACAAATCTCCAATCACTTAATATATAACTGGTCACTAAAAACTTTAGTTCATTTTCCATTTGTTTCAACTTTCAAGGAGTATTTGAGAACATAAATCAATTCTACCTATTCTGTCAACTCAATTTGAAACTTTTTTCTTAGCAGCAAGCGTTCATTTTTATTGACAGTGTAAGGATGAATTTTAATCCTGAAATTATGGTATGGCCTAGGCCTCTAAATAGCTTATTAAAGAAACAAATCATGAGTAAGTTACTTTGTCATGAGTTATCTACCCTGACAAAATGGTGTATGATAAGTGACATGAGTTACCTACCCTGACTAGATGGTGTATAATATGCGACATGAGTTACCTACCCTGACTAGATGGTGTATGATGAGTGACATGAGTTACCTACCCTGACTAGATGGTGTATGATAAGTGGGATGAGTTACCTACCCTGACTAGATGGTGTATGATGAGTGACATGAGTTACCTACCCTGACTAGATGGTGTATAATAAGTGACATGAGTTACCTACACTGACAAGATGGTGTATAATAAGTGACATGAACTACCTACCCTGACTAGATGGTGTATGATAAGTGACATGAATCACCTACACTGACAAGATGGTGTATGATAAGTGACATGAGTTACCTACCCTGACTAAATGGTGTATGATAAGTGGGATGAGTCCAGCATCAATTACTGCCTGCACCTGCTGTTGATTGCCAGCAGTTATGTTGGACAAAAACCAAACAGACTCCTATAAAGTAAAAGTGCATGGTCAATTTAGAAAGAAAATATATATATATACAAATACAAAAAAATGGAGTGCAATTAATCAATTTTATTTCAAGTCTCTTAATTTATGCCATTTTATATTAAATTCCAACACAAGGACTTCTCAATGTTTTCTTCATATATATATATGGAGAGAGTTGTAAAAGCTGTATAAACTACAGGTTATTTCATGAAAGATTTCATACTTATTCATTCTTAGATTTTCAAATACTTATTTTGTTCCCTGCAAGAGAAGAGCAACACAAATCACTTTAAATTCTAAATATAGCTAGGTGCAGTATTTTTGCTAAAATCATAATTAATTTTCTCTACATTGCATCACAGTAAACACAGTCATATTTCAAAGCTATCTTACCTTGTTTATTTTTTCTTTGGGATGTGTAAGAAGAGCTGGGAAGTGTGAGAGGGCGTCACAGTTTAGAACGACCTGCGTTTCATCATCTGTTCCGGTCACTATGTTCCCAACAGCTCTCAATGCAGCAGTCTGTAACACAAGGAGTACTAAAGTTCACAAGTCTCTACATCTAATCATTACAAAACAGATACTATACATTTTGTTTTAGTTTTGCTACTAAAAGTGAAAGCTGAAATTCCCCTGAATTGCTCTATTTATCATCATACCAATATATTGATAGATGGACATTTTACCGTCACTCAAGTACTACTCATGGGTAGCTTTCAGTGACCTGGTTACCTTCCTCAGTCCTAACTGAGATCAGTAGGGGGGCGGGGGGCTTCGCACTAATCTGGTGACTCAGTCACGAGACCCAAGGGTTATCCCCAAGTCATGTGACTGAATCAGACTGATTCATGATAGACTTACCTGGACCTTGACATCAGGATGACTCAGCAGGGGTACTAGGAAGGGCACTACTTCAGAGTCTATCACCATCTGTATCTGTTCATTACCACCATCTGTCAGGTAGGACAAGGCCCACACAGTGTCCACTAGAATCTATGTCAGAAACACAGTATAAACAATGAGTACGAGATCAAATATCAGGTACTGGGAAGGTTTTCTTCTTACATGGCATGAATTATGAGACTTGAAATAAAATTGATTAATTGCACTCCATTTTTTTGTATTTGTATATATATATATATATAAATGTCTGAACTTACAGATATTTTACCACTTTTACAGGCATTTCATTTTAAGCAATTATACAAATTTTAAGATTCTACAACCTTATTGCAATATTTCTCTTGATTCCATTTCTGAAATTCTACACCGAAATTGTAACTTTCTCTGGATTTTACATTTGAATTGCTGCCTTCTCTAGATTCTACATTGAATGTTATTGTTTCCTAATTATAAAGCCATGTAAAACAAATAACCATGTTTCCGGTACCCAAAGCAAGCCTTAGCTTCATGCCTCCCAAAACGTTGGCAATTTTTGTCAATGAATGGTTTGAACAAGCTGATTGATGTTACATAATATTACATAAACAAATAAACCATCGTCAGTCTTTATAATAATACACACATTAAGGTAATCACGAAGTCAGAAGGATTTACTTAAACAAAACGAGCCGATCACTCCTAATCTAAATACCTGAATTACACTGAGGGTTCAGGGAACTAGCGTTTTAAGGTAACCTACGTTGATGTCCGTGTGGTGTATGAGTTGCGTGAGAGCTGGTAGGATCTCCTGAATGGTATCTAGAGGCGGAGGTGGCTCCTTATTGCGGCACAAGTTAACAATGACCCAAGCGACATTTCGAAGAAAGGGGAGTGGGATATTAGGGTTGATAAAAGACAATAGAGGCTTGACGGCACCCAGCTGTATCACGTAATCCCGACACCTTGGCCCGTCACCTGATAACAAAGGGTTGAAAAATTTAGTACATCAACATTTTGGTTTGACTTGATCTTGACAACAAATTTGCATCAAAACAGGTAAACAAATATCTATGTTGTCATTTTATTTTTAAATATGATCAACATGGTTATAACTATGGTACTATAGCTACTACATTCTGTATTGCATAAAAGGCTTATTTGTTCCTGCCATTCATTTTCTTGTGACAACAATAGTGTTTTTGTTACCTAATGTTCCTTTATGAATTGGGAAAATAAAGCATTATTCGTATTGAATTTGGGACTATATTCCTCAGCTTTTGGTCATTTTGGAAAAATGAGACACTTTTTAGCTAGGGGAACCAGACTGTATTCGGCAGTAAGCCTGAGCAATCACTGCAATAACACAATAAATAAAGACTAGAGATAACTGTTTTCGCTATTTTTTCTTTTGATTTATGTTATAAGTTTGCCTTTGGCAAGAAACAAAACCATTTAGGTAGTTGTTTCATCTGCAAAACTCTGTAATCAGAACACCAGCGGTATGGATGTACCTACATGCAGTGTAGTTTGGCAAGCTTTTCGAAAAAATCTCTAATTACGGTTTACAATAATAACTTTGTAGTCAATAGTGTAAAGTTGAACATAAAAGAACAAAACCCCCTCCTTAAGTCAGTAACACATATTATATGATAGTGATGGGTAATGATTGTACCAATGATGTTGCCGAGAGCCCACACGGCTTGCTCGCAGACATTTTGATGAGGTGATTCCAGGAGTCGTAGGAAATAGGGCACAGCACCTGATAACACACAAACATTAACTTTCATCATCATATTGATAAATTATGCGTTTAATAGAAAAAATACATGACATATTTCCTTCTTGACATATTTCCTTCTTCTTTTCCAAAGTATTCAAATTAACTTTGGACTTGTGATAAATGTGATTATAAAATAAGATTTTTCTTTTAAACTTAGGAAACAGCTTAAAATAAGATATATATATATATATTGCAAGATAGTTGTCAAAATTTTACCAAATTTTTATGGCAGTTATTATTTTAAGTCCCCTACAGTCGATTAATTTTGATGTTTCGTGCTATAGATTTCAATGTCTCCTTATCAGGAAATCTTGGACTAGTTACATTGAAGAAGGACAAATAAATATTATATTCAACTTTTCCTGTGGACTACCATGCAAACAATGTTTGTGTCTAACCCTGGCTGGGTGACAACTCAGTAAATATTTTGAACTCCCTTCACAACTTTTGAATCAATTTTAGCGACATTTTACCTGCATTGACAACGGCTTGTGTTTGTTCTGAACTTCCTGACGCTATATTGGTTAGGGCCCATGCAGCTTCAAATTGTAGAGAAGGGCTGGAAAATAATGTACAAATTCTACACCACAAGTATGACATAATGTGTATCAGAAACTTATTCATGTTTGAAGAGATTTATTTTCTCTGAGAAGAAATAATATAAGAGAATTGTGAAAAAAGAACATTCTTGGCCATTTTCAAATATTCACATAAAATTGATTAAGTAGGAACACAACACCCAAAGAGTTTCTGATATTTCCTTTATATTATTTTCCACCTTAGCTGTCACTTTTTAATAGATCATATAACTATATAACAATCAATTTATAAAAACAATTTGCTTAAAATATCTATGTTAGAAAATACTAACATCATAACATAACCCTGAAGTGACTACTACTACTAGTTTAAATATGGTATTCCCCCCCCCCCCCCCCCCCGTAAAATCTGTCCTACTTGTCATCTTTTACTAAGCAGTCAACGAGTGTTGGTAGAATTCCTGATGAAATCAAGTCATCAATTGGTGGATTGCGGTCACTGGACAAAAGTTTTCTGTGAAAGAAAAATTACAATAAAAACATGTTCATTGTTCAGTATAAAAACAAGGAAAATTAAAATAGAAGATGAGAATTGATATTGTACATCTAGTGACTGGTAAAAACATGATTTCTAGCGAAGGAATCATTAGGGGAAAGGTAATTAGAATGCCATTCAGTTCATTAATCAATGATTAACTTGACATTAATTGGAAACAGAATGTAAACCCTGGGCAATTAAGTATGGGGTTTTCTTGATGCTTCACGAAATACAGGAATTAACAATATTACAAAAATTATGAATGATATAATGGTAAATATTATATAATATGTACTATACTCATTTTTCAATGTTCAGATTTTACCTGGCTGCTTGCACGGCTGTTAATTGGACTGTGGGTTCTGGACTTGAAGCGTTTGCCACAATAGCCTGCAGGGAATCATGTGTGGGTTTTTCTGTATCTTCAGAGTCTGTACTGTCTTGGGCTGGAACGTTTCTTCTCTTTAACACATAATGGTCGCGTTTGTTCTGTAAAATAAAACTTTAATTGAATAACTTCCTTCCACTGACTTCCAGGGTAAGGTATCTTTCTCCTACTTAAACAGTTTTGTATACACTTTAAATTCTGTTTAAAGTAGTCAATCCAAGGAATTAATTTTTGTTGTTGTCCAAAATTTGATTAAACTCAGAAAAGACAGATTTTTGCACTTATCTAAAACTAATAACTTATAATTGTAATGTCGGTTCTTCATGTATGACTACTTTCTGCTACCAAAAATATAAAGAACTTCTTTTGTGCCAGGATTGGGACCCACCGAGCGGAACGAGAACATTTTTCTTCTTCTGAAGATGTTATATTAAACTATTTCAAGCACTGCCGAGCATAGAAAGTAAGAATTTATCGGACATTATTTCCATTGACAAACAGATTCAATGAGGGCTAGAATAGTTTTCTGAGTTTGCGGTATTAATCCAGGTTATATTTAATAACTTAGTGTATTCCATTTTTATGCTAGCCCAGCGGAGCAGGGGAGATCACCACACTGTGACATTAGAGCAATAAGATTAAGTAGAGTCAGTCCAGTGAGCCTTGACCATTGACCTGACTACTAATATATAGCCAATGGAAGCTGTGTATACTTTGGATAAAATACTTATTCAAAAGCTGGATTTTCTGGATTTGATTTTAACTGGTAATCATTATCAGGGCCAGAATTCCTGTCCTAATAGACAGATGATCAGATTTATTAATTCTGATGTCTAACTTATTTTGAAAAGGACAAACCATATCACTGACTTTGTTCTCCATTGACTTCAGTGTGTAGTTAATGGGACTATCCAGTGCAAATGGGACAGGTGAGCAAGATTTGTTTTATGTGTGCTATTTAATTTATAGCTACTCTACAACACACAAGTTATCAGCAATATTAATGGAGGTGATACAATGTGTCATTTTCAAAAAAATTTAGACAACTGAATTTACATATTTTTGTACACAATTGCACCTCATTGTATTTTTTGTTTGATTATGTTGAAAGAATGACACCCTTTTTTGTTCATAATGTGTCAAAGAACTGTGTGTTTTTATTTCACTTTATTACCCAAATGCAGGATTATTACCCATATGCAATGTAGTGTCCAACCTGTTGAAAAGCAAAATAAATAAACAGTTATAAAGATGATGATGAACCAACTACTATATGAATTACCTTTCTTAGTTCAACAGTAACTTCAGTTCTTCGTCTTCGCATTTCCTGCAAGTAAATTAAAACTGTATTCACAATATTTCAGGTAACAGTTACATATACATATTCAATGCGTATATACACTGCAATGTCATAAAGAATGCATTTTACAATATTTCAATAGACAATGGCCAAAACTAATGTTGCATTGTCTTATTATAATTATTTCAATTTTGTTTTGAATAGTTTTGAATACAAGCAATATCATAGCATCAATATTCTTTTCAAAAATGTTCAATAATATCACTGAATTACCTATTTAGGTTCGTGATTGTATCACCTTTTTCTCTGTGACACCTTTAGAAAGATATTGATTTTGCCATTTTTGGATCAGGCAAGAAGAAATCGAACACGCCTTCATTGTAGATGAATTCCTTCGCGACAAAACAAAATCATATACACAAAGGCAAACCATATTCAGATCTTGAACAATGTCCTTGCTACGTGTCACAAAATTGAGAACAAAAAAAAGACCATGACATGGATACGTTTAGGCCAATAAAACGTCCTTCAAGTTCAACAAGAGCATGGGACATATTTCCGAAAATGGGATATATGTCCTCAAAGATTTAAAGTGACTAACATACAATTTTGCTATTCAAACATCCCATATGTCTATAAATCTTGTTAAATGCACAATATATCGTCATTTATTTAGCAAATTCAGCCATTTGTCTACTTTCACATTTGATTGAGCCGACCCTATGAGACGGTCTCGAACAATCGACCACATGTCTCCACCTCATGTTTTCTCTTAAACATTGACCCAAAATCAAATGAAACATACCTCAGCATCTTTTCCCTTATTTTTAAATAGATGCGTTCTTCCTTTTACCCCAATTTCTGTCGTCATTGTGCGAACGGTTACGTTTAGTTCTTCGTTTTTTGACTCTGGATAAATGGCTATTTCCCCAAAATGCCGGCCTTCTTTTTGAGTCAAGCACGACATAGTACGGACGTGCTGATTGGATAAAATTCAGATCCCGCAAATTACGCCATACGACTAATCTTATTTTTCCATTTGAAAAAGAAAGACACAGCATAAGATAAATTGTATATCGTATTGCAAAGATAAATCAATGTCGATTTAATTAATGTCAAGAATGTTAAAATCATCAAATATTTATTTTCTCATTGACCAATAAAAAATGACGTGACAAATTGTGTCGTAATCCAATACATTTTCGTACAATATTTTTTTTAACCTTATATAAAATTACAATGCTTTCAAAATACTATGGAGTATTGCGAATAAATAATGTGTATGCTGAAATTTATTAACAAGAGTAGTTTGCATAATATGTAATTTAGTTTTAAAGTAATAAGTACGAAAGTAAAAACCTTGCGGATCATCTGTGCGTTTTCAAACTCAAACATAACAATGAATTAGATCGTTGAAAAAGGCGGGGACATGAAAGTTGTTTACTAAACAAGGACGACTGAACACATCATGGATAAGGATACATTTCAGCTACAATCGCTCCTTTCAGATGTTACATTTTTGTCACTTTCTTTTGCTTCGGGATTAGCACTAATCGGGGTTGTAACGGGATTTTATCTCGGTAAATCTCGAGGGCAACAATGTATTCTATCTTGGCTAGTTTACAATGCTCTGACACATTTTGTATTGGTAAGCTGTTCCTCTACTGCGGTCACCCTTAAAAGCGTCTTCAACCGACAACAAGCGTCTTCAAGTGACAAAAAGCGTCGCCATACAAAATCTTAAAAATTACCGAATAAAGTAAGCGACATCAGAAGATATGTAGTTAATATGACGATAATACACCTTGATACCAAATTTCAATTTGATATTTGAAAAATTTACTAAGTTATGATGAATTGAATTTTACGATCTGCGGCTCGTCACGTGTGTGTATTAACCTGTAAGCGTCGCCAGACAAAATCTTTGAAAATACTTACTAAAGTAAGCAACATCAGATGATATGTTATTGATATGACTTTCATGTGAATTTCAGCTAGATATTTGAAAAAAATACAAATTTAATTTTAATGATCGTCTATGTGGGAAACGTGTGTGAATTGAACTCCGCAGATCGTGAGGGATCTTCCGACTTAAACTCTTAGATTAACCTTTAAAGTAAGCGACATCAGAAGATATGTTTTTCATATGACTATGATACACCTACATATATGTACCAACTTGAGGTTGATAGTTTAAAAAAATGATCGGCGCCGTTACATGCATGTGTAAAGAAATCTACAGAGCGTGAAGTGTCTTCAATCTATCTCTAAAAATGATCTAATAAGTCAGTGACATCAGACGATATGTTATTCATATGACTATAACACACCTTTATACAAAGTTTCAGGTTGATATTTGATCAAATGCCTGAGTTATCGTGAGGTATTTAGGTTTTATAAGTGCACATATGAACTCTCAGTGTGTCACATATGTCTACATGTTCGTAGGACTTTGATTGTAAAGCTGAACACAGGCTCTGTGTGTGCCAAGAAGACTAGTTTAATCCTTTGATGTATACATCAAAAGAATCTCGCGGTCATGTCAAGGTAAAAATTGACAGGCTTTGAAGTTGGGCGTCTCTCCTTTGTAATCTTCAAAGGACAGGTTTCAGCCTAGCGATTGGTCATTTTTTTTTTTACCTGAGACCAATCAAACAGCTATCTTCGTGCCTTTAATTTTGCCATGACATATTCCAGGGGTGCAGAGAGCGAAAGTGAGCGTAACCCCTGGATATCGAGGATGAGCTGAACACAGCCAGCCCGGATCATATAGCTGTATAAACATTGTAATCAATTACGTTAACAATGAGACGTCTATATTATTTTATATTTAAACAAGATGTTGCCCCTAAAAAGATCAGTTTATGCATAGTCTATGACAAAATAACACAAGAAAAATTTATTGAATTGATATTTAATATGAAATCCATTACTATATCGCAAAAGATTGATGAGTCGTATAGAATACGTATAGAGACATATTGGTCAGAAAAGATTTTAACAAAGATCAAACGTGGGTTTTTTACTAAAAAGATTGAAAAACAACAATTGCAAATCAATGAATCACATGATCAAGTTTCAAACTGATGAAGTTCCCAATCGAATTTGGGGTTTAGGTACGTTATACCATTCAACAGTCTCAATACTGAATACTCAATATGATGTACCACGGAATAAGATTAAGTCTAAGTCCGTGGATGGTGGATGTAGAAAAGTGATTGTCTAAAAGGTTGAAAAACAACCATTTTGAAATAATGAATCGCACCATATGCATCAAGCACAAGTTCCCGAGCTAATTCAGCATGCAACAATCGCAATACTCTTGATGGTCGTTGTTACCGGTGACTATGTACTGGCCTCGCACGCGCAAAATGTCAAGCTTAGTTGTCTTGCGGGAATCGTCAACATTTGATAAAGCTCTAAAATTTAAAAGTTCCCAAATTATGTGTGCTAGAAAACCGACTTTTTTTTACTAAAATTCAATACATCACATAACTCGGTCAATTTTTCAAATATCAAATTGAAATTTGGTTTAAAGGTGTATTGTAGTCATATTAACAACATATCTTCTGATGTCGCTTACTTTATTCGGTATTTTTATAGATTTTGTCTGGCGACACTTTTTGTCACTTGAAGACGTTTGTTGTCGGTTGAAGACGTTTTTAAGGAGGACTATACACTGCGTTAGATCCGACACAACAACGTTTCACCTATTGTTCCATATGAGAACCTTGTAAATTACAACATTGCATTCATACACATTCCAGTTGACTATATAATCAGAAACGTACCAGTGCAACGTGTCTGATTCTACATGTACAGTAACGTGTAATGGACACAAAAAAGTATCACTGATGCCTTATGATTAGGGCTGTCATAATACACTAAGAGTGTATCACGATATATTGCAATACATAATGAATATATTGTGATACTTATCCCAATATATTGTCATAGGAAAGATGTGCTCGATTTTATAATAAGTTGTCAGAATGTTATCAAACTTAATCATATATATCAGGACGTGTACACTGTCGATTGAGCTATATAGCTGTAAAGAGCTCTATTGACCTAGCTGAAATATGTCTTTTGAGCTACTTTCTTGTGATTTTTTTTTTAAGGAAAAATATTCTTTTTAAAAAAAAACATTTATGAAAAATGAAAATAAACATCTAACTGTATGCTTTTTGTAGTCAACATTACCATAAACTTTACTGATTTATGCGACTTTGCTTTAACTTATGAAAATTGAAATCTGAGAAAATATAGCTCAATACAGCTATAATTTATAGGTGAATATAGCTATATAGGTGTTGATAGCTATATAGCTCAAACGGCAGAGTGTACTGGACCTGTATATAATAATAACAAACAAATTCATGGAATTTATATCCCCCGCTTGCAGGACATATTGTAGGTTAACATTGAGGTTAGGTTTAAACATGTGACTATCATGCTGTTGAGACATAATGTATAGCTTGAAACTTGAAGAAAGAAAAAGCCCTATACCTCATTGATTATCCGTAAATATGCACAAATCGCATTGGTTGGCAAACTTAGCACGAGTCGGATCCACATACGGAATTTGGATAAAACATCTGAACAATATCTACCGCAATTATTAGACAAAAAACAAAGAGTGCCCGAGATGGATGGAAAGACAGAGGAACCCAAACATTTTTATCAAGTTTGAAGGAAATCGGTATAATATTTGCAAGAGTTATTAAGTTTGGTTAACTTTTGTTGTAGTTATTGCACGGAAACGAAGTGCGGCAGATAATGACGTTTTTCATTATTCAAGGGGCCATAACTCCGCCAAATGGGGTCCGATGAAAGTGGTCATCGAAATTGACCTAGCCCTTAAGGCATTTAACCCTGTGACCAAGTTTTAAGAAAATCAGTTAAATTTTGTTGTACACATAGTTATTGCATGGAAACGAAGTGTGACAGACAGACAAACCCAAATTAATATCCCTCGTTTCGGTGAAAGTGGGGGATAATAATAATAATTTGAGGTTCTTATATACCGCTTTATCACAAACCTACCAGGTAGTTTATAGGTCGTCTCAAAGCGGTTCACAAATTATTATCCGTGGTTATAGGGCCTTTGAAACCAGCCAATATCTTTCTCAACTCCCTGGGGCTGCCATTTCGGCGATAACAGCTAGCATTCAACAATTCTAGCACTGCCCAACCACATACTCATTGACAGCTGAGTAGACTGGAACAAGCGGAGTAAAGTATCTGGCTCAAAGATACAACACTGTGCCGTGACTCGAACATGCAACCCTTCGGCCACGAGCCAGGCGTCCTACCACTAGACTACCGTGCCTACTGGATCACATAGATTTAAGATTTTTGTCAAACCAACCACTGATTACAAAATTTGAACTAATGTCCACCACTAATAAAAGCCTGCTTTATGCTTATTGGCATATCTGTTAAAATTTGTAGTAATTTGCAAAGTTAAAACACTAAGCAGAATGAGATACATAAAAAATAAGCTTTTAAAAAATTATTGTGATACAGCAATATTTCATCTCTGTATTGTGGTACGATATGATATATGTACATGTATTGCGATATACCGGTACCTGTTTTCCGATATATTGTGACAGCCCTATACTTATGATCATAACAAATACTGATGATACTTTTTTTGCATAAAAGAAGTTGTCCAACAGTGACAATTGAAAGTTTAATTATCTTTCCCATCTCTACATGTATTTCTCTATATTTATCATGACTATAGTTGCTGAGATTATTGCAATAAGATGTGAATTTGTATTAATATTATACCCAGCCTTTTCTGCACCAGGCAGGTATTAAATCAATCCCATACCTTGTAAAGAAGCAAGCCGATAATCGGTTTGTAATAAAAAATAAAAAAGCACTTGCTAATTAACACAATTGTTGGTGAAATTTGTTTATGATTTTATGGGACTGAAGACCCAAATAAAGAGAACACAATTGTTGGTGACCAGATATCTCAATTAGTTAGAGCGTCTGTCTGAGGTTCTTATACAATTCCAAACCCAGGGATTAATGCAGGAATAGAAAGTTAGGACCCTTTGTTGAAATAGGGGAAAATACGCACTGTAGGTGCATGACCCGTCTTAGTGAGGGCTGCTGCCGGCAAAAGCCAGAGGGAGAGTACATGAGGGGGGCATGGATTTCATCTTTGATTTTGTTTCATGCTCGATGCTGTTCATTATAGATTATAAAATATCAGCAGTGACAATTAACAACACAGGGAAAATGAAATAACATTCAGTTGTGAAACTGATGGGGAAAATTGAAACCAAGTCGGATATTCATGTGGTAGTATTTTAGTTACATGTGGGTGAATTTTTAACTGAAAAAGGGGAAAATAAAGCTGAAATAGGGGAAAATAATCCCTAAATTGGAGAGGGAAACTGGCCCATATTTGGCCATAAAAAGGCCTGTATATATCCATGAATTTGATTATGATTTTAAACCAGTTGCCCATCATTACCATTTGGTGCCAACATTTCTGCATACCAGCTCCTATTCAAACTGATGATGATGGTATTTAATTAAATGTCAATGGTACTGAGACTGTAATAACTAAAATGTAAACAATTACCGTTATAAGTAACAGTAAAAAGTAAGCACACCCTCCTCTGTTACAAAGGTTCATTGTTACCACTCTATTACCTTGGCAGAAGATACAGGCTGACAGTCCTTTAAACAGGGGACCTGCAAGTTGACCCTAGTCCCCTAATTAAATATACAGCAATATCCTGGTCACAATTTATTTTTACATATCTAGCTATCTCATATTCCTTTGTGTGCACAATTAATCACTTGTTTGGGATCACACTTTTCAAAAGATTAGTGCCATTAACGATTTTGATGGAATACAATGTAAATATACTATAGAATGCTTGAGATATTGGAGAAGGAGGTGCTGTAGTTTCTAAACTATAGTACACATCAGTTTAGAGGTAATTATTTTGTTCTTGTATGATCAGAAGTTGCAACTGTTTTTTTTAATTTTATGTTAAACTGTCATTGTTTGTTTTTAGGAGGGAGCCTTTGTCTGTTTCTCTTTGAGGGGAACTGTCAACAGCACTGATAATTTTTTGGCAACAATTTGTAAGTACATAAGAAATATGTAAATGATTATCTTTACCAGTCTTTTCTTAATACAAAAAAGACTTGCACATTCCTGTTGTATAATTGGGACCAAATCTGCTACTTTATTATGACCATGCCCCAAAACCAAACTTATACCTACCTTGTTATAGCTCAGTAATTATTCTTGTTGATTTTAAACTCCAATATTCTGGCAACTTACTATACGCTTCTTTTATTGTAAACAAACTTGGAATATACTGAACTTAACTCGTTATTTTAGGGAAGGAGTATGCAAAAGCAGACCAGCGTTGGGGTGTGTCTGACCCTACAATTGTGTCGCTTGAGATCCTCACCGTGGGGCTGGCTGGGCCCCTCGCCCTGCTGTTGTGCTACGCCATTTTGCGGGACCGACCATACCGACACTTTGTACAGATCATTCTATGTGTTTGTGAGCTGTATGGAGGCAAGTAAACAATTTCCATGTTTGTCTTAAAATTACGCCAGAAAAAAAGTTGTATTCTAAACTTTTTCAATCCTGTTTGAAATGCAGGGAACTTTAGTTTGGTATCATTCCTGTATGGGAAAAAATCCTCCAAAACATCGCCACGTAAAGGCCATTAAATGTTTTTTGTCATTCCAAAATCACCAACCTTTATGCATGGATATATCTTGGGGGGGGGGGGGGGGGGG